AGCTTGGAAAATCTCCCAGTAAACTTTCCACCAGCGGTTCGGGAAGTGTTGCTTAATGCCCGGAAACCATCCACCCACAACAACTATCACTTGAAGTGGAAGCATTTTCAAACCTACGTCTCTCACCACTCCTTCGATGCGGCCCAAGCCTCCTTGCCAGATATTTTATCTTACATCGTATCCTTGAAGGAATCTGGTCTTGCATACTCTTCTCTGAAAGTGCAGCTTGCAGCTATCTCGGCATTATCACCCTTCAATTCAGGGATCTACGGTGTTCTCCCACTGCTTCACAAACTCCTTTCTCAAGGGTCTCCTCCACCTCTGTCCGCCTCAGAAGCCGCTAGTGCTATCCCGGAATCTGTCTCTAGTCCTCACCCACCTGACGTCTAAGCTGTTTGAACCCATGGCTTTGATAGACCTTTGACTTCTATTGTGGAAAACAGCATTCTTGATTGCTGTCACAACAGCTCGCCAGGTCAGAGAACTTGCTGCATTCCATGCAGATCCATGCAGATATACAGTTTTTCACAGGGAGAAAGTTGTTCTCAGACCAGACCTGTCCTGTCCCCTTAAGTGGTTTCTGCTTTTCAGCTTGTCTTCTGTCCTACCCACTTTCTTTCTGAACCTGGGTGACACTCCACAAAGAGCCTTACACTGCCTCAATGTCCGGAGAGCTCTCTCCTTTTATCTCCACCACACACAACCCTTTAGAAATTCTCAAAGGCCTTTTGTTGCATATGCCTCCCTGTCCAGGGGTGAGGCCATCTCTTCTCAGCACTTGCCCAAGTGGGTGACCTCAACCATAGCCCTTTACTATGAGTTAGCGCATCAACCCATACCTACCTCTGTCACTGCTCACTCCACGAGGGCAGTCTCGACTTCGACTGCTTTCCTGGCTGGTGTCCTGTTAGAAGACATCTGTGCTGCTGCCACGTGGTCCTCCACCTCGACCTTTGTGTCCCACTATGCACTGGACGTTCGAGCTTGACGGGATGTTACATTTGGCCAGGCGGTGCTGAAGTCTCTCTTCACCTGATTCTTCTGCTTCTTCAGGTAGGACCTGTAAATTCAAATGATAATGCTATGTCCTAATCTGTTTATTGTTTTCTTTCGGCTGCCAGCTCCCTCCTCCATCTGGTTCAGCTCGTTAATCACCCATATGTGGGACTGCACAGAGACCACAATGAAGATAAACAGGTTGCTTACCTGTAACTGATGATCTTCGAGTGGTCATCTGTGCAGTACCACAATTCCACCCAGCCTTCCCCACTGCTGGCATCTCCTGATCACTTACCTTTGTTGCTGGGACTTACCAGTAGAGGTCAAAGGAACTGAGTGGGAGGTGGCTCTCTCCCCTGCTTCAGGCATGCGCAGTGTGTGTCTGCTCCCCAGGGCAGGAAGACAGCCCGCCAAAATAGACACCTGAGGCGAGCTCTGAAATATTCTCCGGTCAAGGTCATGCGCAGGTGCCCAACTGTGGTACTGCACAGATGACCCCTCAAAGATAATCAGTTACAGGTAAGCAACCTGTTTTTTTCTTTTCTATCTTCATGATATCCATTCATTAATTTTGTCACAAAAGTTATTAATTTTTTGTACATGTCTCAATTATTGTTATCATCTGTGGCCATGGTATATATTTGATGGAAATTGACAGGCAAATATTAAGGAAGGCAAAAGATCTTAAAAGCTCTCTGAACAGAACCAAATAGGAGCAAAATCAAGAAGTAATATTTATACCTATAGTGTTCAGCTATAACAAATGAGCCTGATATGGGAGGGGGAAAGACTGCCTTTCATGGAATCTCCCTTAAAAATAAAAGCTGAATGGTGGTGACACTTCTCTAGAACATTCCACACGCTCCAAAATCAGTTCGCTCTCTGATCTGTCATTCAGAGGGTCTCCCTATCCACTGGCTGCTTTGCCTGAGTCCTGCCTCCAACATTCTAAACATTTTGCTGTTCCTCTCCCCCCCATAGCCAGTCAGAACATCAAAGGTTATTTGCAAATGCAGCCTCATTGGCCTTTGCCTCGGAACACAGAGGTCGTTTGCATATGCGACTTGATTGGCTTTTGCCTCTAACATTATAAACAGTTTTCTGTTCTGAGGTAAAACGTGTTCAATCTCCAGGTGAGGGCTGGAGATCACTCAGAATTACAACTGCTTTCCAGATGGCAGAGATCAGTTCCCCTGGAGAAAATGATGGGCTCTGTATCCTTATATGCTGCTGAGGTGGCCCCCATATGACAGCCGATGTGACGTAGCAGTCAGGGCTTCAGAGCACGGGAGAGGCTGTAGGTGTGTGTGGGATGGAAAGCTGAAGAGTGAGGGGGAAATAAAGGTAGGTTGATGGTTGGCTGGGAAGGAGATAATGTTGCCGACTCCAGGTGGGAAATTCCTAGAGAGGTGAGGGATGGAGCCTGGAGAGGGTGAGGTTTCAGGAGGCGTGGGACCTCGGACAGGTACAAAGCCATAGACTCCACCCTCCAAACCAACTATTCCTTTCTGGGGAACCATCATTGCCAGTGTCCAGGTGAGGGCTGGAGATCACTCAAAATTACAACTGTTCTTTAGGTAGCAGAGATCAGTTCCTCTGGAGAAAATGGTGGACTCAGTGTCATTGTTTGCGAGGCCCTGAGGAAGAACTTGGGAATGGTCAGAAGATTCTGGAGAAGAACTGAGCTGAGCCATCTTGGACTTATGTTTAATAATTGATTGAGCACCACTGTTTTTCTGTTTTAATGTTGGATGTTTTTACTATGTATCATATGTTTTAATTATGGCTCAGGTTTTTTTCCCTTGCCTCTGTGAGCCGCCCTGAGCCCATTGGGAAGAGCAGGGTATAAATGTGAAAAATAAATAAATAAATAAATTATACCCTGCTGAGGTCGCCACAGCAAATTGACACTGAGTGTCCAAGGCCGGGACACCCGCCCAGAGCCTCTTTCTAGAGGCCGTTGTATTTATTTCCACAACGGGCCTTTTTCCTAGTTTACATAATATAGTTCATTCGTTTTTTCTTTTTTGTGTGTGTGTGTTCATGACCCTGAGAAGACATTTTAAATGATAAATTATAAATGACACATTAATATTTTAGGGTTTTAGTGCAGTTTGCTGATTAAAACATATAAAACTAATATTAGACAGAAACATCTGTATCATATTTGTTAACCATAACGCTGAACACATTTATAATGAGAAGTCAGTTGTTAAAGTAATTTCTGCAGAGCAATTAAAGTGTTTTGCACATTAATAAGAAGCTACAGTTTTCTTCTGTGTATGGGTGGGTCATGATTAAATAATTAGCATTTCATTAGAGTTGTTTAAGAATTGTATGTTATTATGTCAGGGAACACAGCTCAATTATTGATTACATGCTTTGCCTGTAGAAGGCCCAAGAAACAGTTTAAGAGCTTAAAGTGCTGGTAAAATGATGTAACTTAGTAGCGGTAGCTTCATGTGTTCACATTTCTCTTGAATGACAGCAGCGACTGTCTAATGACAGCAGCGACTGTCTAAAATTATGGTTTGTCCTCAAAAAACTGAGGCGGTGTGTAGGTATCTAGTACCCTTTAATTTGTTCTCAATTTATTACAGTGGTGAGAGCCAGTTTGGTGTAGTGGTTGAGTGCACGGACTCTAATCTGGGAGAACCGGGTTTGATTCCCCACTCCTCCACTTGCACCTGGCTGGATGATCTTGGGCAAGCCATAACTCTGGCACAGCTGTTCTTGAAAAAGAGCAGTTTCTGTCAAGAGTTCTCTCAGCCCCACCTACCTCACAGGGTGTCTGTTGTGGGGAGGGGAAGGGAAAGGAGTTTGTAAGCCACTCTGAGACACCTTTGGGTAGGGAAGGGCGGGGTATAAATCCAATCTCTCCTCTTCCTCTTCTTCTCTTCAAAAATCATTTCATAGTCCTCCAATCCTTATAGCACAAACAATACAGTCCACTGTATCCACATCCAAATTACCTCACCCCAAAACAATTGTACATCAGATTCAATATTTTCAGGTCCTACCAAGGCTACTAATTTTTGAAGCCAGAAATTCTGACAGCTGAGTGTAGGGTAACAGTAGAGCCGGTATAAGAAAGTAACCACGTTGGCCTGCAGCAGAACAGCTAGATTCAAGTCCGGTAGCACCTTAGAGAACAATGAGATTTTCAGGTATGAGCCTTTAAGAGTCAAATCTGCCTTGGAATCTAACACAGCCAGTAGTTGTGTGTGTGTGTGTGTGTGTGTGTGTGTGTGTGTGTGTGTGTGTGTGTGTGTGTGAGAGAGAGAGAGAGAGAGAGAGAGAGAGAGAGAGAGAGAGAGAGATGATCGAGCTCATTAGTTTTTTTAATATACTAGCTCTAGAAACAGAGCTCAGTGGTAAGTCCATTTCCCTAGCCATGCTCCATAACAGCAGTCCCAATATTCTGAGCGTCCCTTATCCTATTGCAGTTCTGTAGAGAGCAGTGCACACACATACACAAATACACCACCCCATGGCCAGAATCCACTGTTGTTCACCAGGAAACAATGGTTCATGATGGATTCTACTGTGTGCTCTTTTCAGCCTCATTTCCAATCATGGATGTTTCACAACACACCTCTCAGGTTTTTAAAATGTTGATCTGACCTGCCTTGTTAGTTCCTATCTACCCCAATCCCACTGTAATATAGTTCTTATCATGTTGGAAGTTTATACAATCTGAGGTGAGTTTCAGAAATACGGTGCTGGCTTCCTGTTTTACATATGTCCAAATGGTTTGGAAGACAGTCCACTGAACTGAAGTTTCTTGGTACAGGAAAAGTTAGTCTGCAATATCAACTCTCATAGTGTTGTACTGTTTTACATCTGCACGTAGTACGTTAAGAAAAGATACTGTACAATTCATGCATTTTGTATTTATTCAAATATTTGCTTATGTTTGGGGGGAATATTTCATTTTTCACTGTAGATGTCTACCTTTCCAGCCTATACTTTACTGACCATATATTTTGTTTCTTTTTGAGGATCCTCCTACTTCTGTTTCACTTGGATTGAGAATGGAGGAGATGATTTTCAACCTGGCAGATACACATTTATTCTTTAATGATTTAGAAGTAAGTAATGATCCTTTTAGGAGGAACATAAAGAATTTATTTAATATTGATTTCATTATGTAGAGCAAGAAATAATTTCAGTTGTCAAAACCGTTTGAATGTGTTTGATGCACTCATTGAATATATACAGTAATACAAATTTCAGTTATAATTTAGTGCTCATATTTAATGCTTTTAATAACTGGACATGTTACTTTGTTGCTGTTATGACTATCAATGATTCGGGTATTATAATGACATCCACTGCATGCCAGTTATACATATTACAGTGTGATAGTTTGTGCAGGCTGTTGCATATTAAATGTTGCCTTCTCAGAGATCACTGGTATTCTCCATTAAGTCTCATGGTGAGGAAGCGTTACTTCTGAATCCAGGGGAAATCATTAATGTTACATAGCCTGTCAGTCTCAGCTTATTACTGCCTTCCCAGTTGCACATACAGCTTGCTATGCACGAGGGTTTCTTTGTTAGTCATGCATCCCATGTGTATGCTGTGGTGTAAAGACTTGTGGCCATTTAGCACATTTACAGTTGGTCATTTATTTTCCTTTGCAGCTCACAGACGTGAGCAAGGAAGTTAGTGCAGGGAACGATCTGTACAGGAGCCACCTACTTTCATGATCAGGGCGATCACGGTGTACCATTCTGCTGAAGCATTTTCCACATAAGCCAAAAAAAGAAAAATTAGTTGGACCTTTTCCCAGCTCTTACAATCTTTTGGTGCTAGTGCTTTTGTGAATTCATCTTTAACTTCTTTTTTCCTGGATTATTAAGGGCAGCTTTCAGTAAAGTCCCTGTCTGTTTCATCTTACAAAGAGAAAAGTGATTTCTGTTGATATTTTCATTTTTAAAAAATATGAAAACAGTCAAGCTTTGCTCCCATTATAATAAAGGCAACTGTTTATTTAAAATCCAACCATTAAACAAGCTTGTGGCAGGACTGCCAACAGGCATTAATCATCACATTGTTGTTTTGTTAGAATTTATAAATGTATGTTATTCCAGACAGGCAAAAGAATCCAAAAGATTCAAATACAACTTTTGCTGATCAAAGTTAATTGGCAGCAATTGGCCTTTAAATATTTCCTGATGTTTCCTTTTCTCAAAAATCAAGGAAAATACACCTTATTTAATAGATGAGCCAATATCATTTGAAAAATGCTAGTGTGTGACGAACCTTAAATGTGGTTTCTCAAACATCTGTCCTATATTTTGATTTCTTTTCATCTGTGAAGAAACTACTCACAGATGAATTGGCAACTTAAGAATGTAATAAAATTATTTAAATGTGCTTTATTTTTTCTTCCATTCCTCAGTGAAGTATTTATTTCTTTCACATATAAACTACACAATTTTATATATTTACAAGTGTTTTTAATAAGACAATTTAATGTTAAAGGCATGTATTGTTTAGTACAAATAAAGTAATTAGTGAATGATATGCATTGGATTGCATATAAGGGTGCTTATTTTTCAAGGTTGTATCTGTTTTCTGGTTGTGTTTAATTTTATTCAAAGGTTAAAAGTAGTATCACATCTTGTTCCTATGTCAAATAATTTCTAGTATTTTCATTTGTTTTTCTCAGCTATAAACATTCACACAGAGATACCTAACAACTTATAAGTGCATGCAACTACAACTGATGTTAAGGGAAATTTGCCATAATTTTAGTGATTGTGACAAAACACTGGCCCCATTCCAGAGAAGTGGTATGATTCATTCAGCTTGCAAAACAGGGTTTTTGGACTTGTATTTCACATCTAGTAGCTTCTCATCCCACACAAGCTATTGACATTACAGACTTTGGGAAATTTCAAAAGTAGCTTGTGATGCGGTGCAGGAGTCCCACTGAATGTGTCCAAAGTAGTTCTCTGGACTGTGGCTGTTTTCTTATAATTGGAGGACTGAATAGAGTACCTCTTTGAGTACTGAAAAATGTCTTGTAATAATTCATTCAGTAAACTGAAAACAATTATACATGTTTAAAAATACCAATGAGAATGCACTCTTGCCAGTTTTGCTCAACTAATAGCATAATTCAGAAAATAATTCAGATCAACTAATAGCATAATTCAGAAAATAATTTGGAAGGAAAGCAGAGAATTTCAATATTTTCAGATTAATATTTAAACCAGTTTTAGTACAGGAATTTGTACGCGGATTATGAAAAGTGTTTTCTTGTGACCTTTTTACTACTAGCAGTTCAGCATCAATGAACCCCAATTCTCTTATTACTACTTGTATGTAACTGTTTGGAATGATTAGCAATTGCTGCCCTTGGTTGAGAAGCCACTATTGCTTTGCACTTTTACTGTAATCTTTCTCAACAAGAACAAAAAAAGCAATGCAAGATTAGTATAAATTCATTTCTGCATCTTTAACACCAACAAAGGAGGCGGACAGCTCTTTTTATCGTCAAGGAACATACACTGTGGCTTGAGTGAGTAGGAAATAGCCCTGCAACACATTTTCAGGTTGGGATGAAAAGTGACTGGTAATTGGATGGAGTGTGAAAAGTGAAGAAATAGGAAGCAAATAGTCTTGGTGTTAAAATGAACTATTTCCATTTCAAAACATGCAAGGATAGAATTTGTGTGTTCCAGTTCTCGTTTCAGTAAGCAAGTATATACATGTATAAATTCCCTTCACAACATTGAAAGTAATGACAATTGTGAGGTAATCCACTGATCTTGCCCAATCAGAACCACTTTTCCCCCTCTCTGTTCTTTGAAGCTCATAGGACCGTCTGTCTCCTTTCATGTGTATAACTTCTGAAATAACCAGGAATATAATATTCTTATAAATATATAATCGCTAGCTTGTTATCTCATTTGTATTCTGCCCTTCCTCCAAAGGCAGATAGGAAGCCATACATGGGAAGTGATCCCATTTTTCATTCTCAGAATAACCCTTTGAGATTATTGGACCTTGGTTACCTAGTGAATTTGAAGGATGAGTGGGAGTTTGAACCCAAGTTTCTCTGGTCCAAAGCCAATACTCTATTCACTATGCAACATACCTACAATAATTTCAGGCAACCATCTTCCAGCTGTTTGTAGAAATCATAAACTCTCCTCTTAGCTTGATCATTAATATATTTCCCTTTTGCTTGTCAATCTTATTTACACATCAAATTGATTTTAAAGAACACTGTGACATACGGTGAACCAATATGGGAACTGTCAGTATAAAATGTATTTCTTAAGTACTGTGATTAGGATCTTTCACCTTTAGCATTTATTTACAGTAGCCATTTATGATCATTTCTAAAGGCTTAAATAACTAGCATTTTCTTAAGAGGGGACAGAGATTTCTAGGGATGTGTGTTCGGTTAAAACTGACCTGAAAATATATCTGAAAAATACCTTTAATTTTTCCAAATATATTTGGCTCCCTTGAATGAATCTTGAATTTTTCAGAGTACCAAAAAAATAAAAAAAAATGTTTACCAAAAAATCCCAGAAATATTTGGGATTAACTGGGAATTTTCAGGACCCAGTATTTGCAGGCTCCCAGGACTGTATTTTCCTCTCCCACATGATTCCTGGGGTTTGGTATCAGGTTGCCAGGATGCTTTAGGCAGGATTCTGCCACTTCCAAGGGTTTTTGTTGTTTTTTAAGTTTGTTCTTTGCTGGAATTGGTTTGTCAGGTTCACTTTTTTGTGGATTCTCATTTTTTACATTAAGATGCTCACATTTTGCATATCCTCATAGTTTACTTAGTTCAAGATTCATGAGCATTACATGGTTTTAGATTCTTGGGTGTTACATAGTTTCAGGTGTTACATTGGTTGGGCTTAACTATAGCTTCAATAGATTTCCTAAGTGGAAAGATTTTCAGGAAATAATGGAGGATGTCTAGAGCAGTTCCCTGCCCAGTCCACATTACTAGCCTCTGCTGGTAAAACTAGTAAATGTACTATACATTATAGTGGGAAAGAGGGGCAATGTGGCATTACAGTATTATTCCCCAGTTTTTATCATATATGGAGTTCAGTCTTCAATAAATTATTTCACATTATTGTCACTCTTTGGCTACAGTCACACACACTAAATAATCCACTTTCAATCCACTTTCAGTGCACTGTCCAGATGGATTTTACTGTGTGAACTGGCAAAATCCAGTTGGAAAGTGCATTGAAAGTGGATTATTTAGTGTGTATGATCGCAGCCTTTGACATCCATTGTTGCCTAAAAAAGAAGAGTGGGAATGAAATAGACTAGGTTATTGTTGGGAATAAATAATTAGTTTTAGCTGGGCAGTAATGAGTGTGCTGAATTAGCTCAGAAGAAAATCTATCCATCACTATTTCAAAACAGAAAGGAATGTATTCTTCATAAAACAGTGAAAGATTTTAATTTCCAGTGCCAGCAATACCCTAGGTAGTAAAAAAGTTAACAGAATATTTTTTGCACCTGGAAAATGCACACAAATTGTTACATTTAATAAACTGTGGAGTGTTGTGTGTATTCCTGGACAAGTAACCCAAAGTAGCTGAAAATGCAATATGACAGTTTGAGAAAAGTATTCAGTGCTAATGAAAAGTGTGAGCAGATGTTTTAGACTTGAAAACATTTCTCCTGCTCACCAGATTACCTGAGTTTCCTGCTTCTTGCTGGGTTATGACAACCCTCTTTATTAGAGTATTTTGGCACATCTGGTCTCAGACAGAACCAGGAAGTGTAGATGCATGAAAAAATGTAAAACAATGGTATGGAAGATATTTGAGCCTCTCAAACCTCTTAAGTAGGTTTGTTTTCACTCTTCACTGCATTACAAGGAAAGCTTTGAGGCAGTTTTGATTTAACTATCAATGGATAAATCCTCCTTGGTGCAGCACAGTGATGAATTCTGGTGTCCTCCTTCCCTTCTCTCCCAGCTCCACAACCCATTGGACTACTCGAGAGCAGATATGTAGTAAAGTCAGAGAAATATATTTCTTATCACCATTTAAAGTTCAGAGTGCACACTGCCGTAATGAATAAAAAGTGTGGCTTC